AATAAAATATATTCAACAATAATTATTAAATTCATAAAATATAATTAATATCTAAATTTGTAAAATAACTCCTAATTTATACAATAAAATTGATTGTATTTATGCGCGTAATATGAATGTAATATATAATTAATTTTCGGTCAATGATTTGTTTAGTTGTGTAAATGATTTATACAGTAATTAAAAAATTAATTGTAATAAAACTTAGATTCTCTAAATGAAAGACAAATTGTTTGATTGTATAATTTGTTGGACAAAAACAGCTCAGATCAGGTCTAAGGACATTATTAATGTCCTAAACCATTGATCTGTAATCTGAAAATACCATTAAATCACTCATTTTGTAACATAAGATTGGAAATTATGGCTAAATTTTGTTTAAACATAACACGATTGCACACTCAATACACACATCATTACACTTTATACACCTTATGATTGAGTACAACAGTCTTAATCGACCTCAATGTCCATCACGAGGTCGTCGCCCTCCAGTTTCATGTCTTTAGCGGCGAATATCTTCTTAACAGTTCCGGCGACCGGCGATTGTACTATCATTTCCATTTTCATGGCGCTCAATACGATGAGCGGCTGACCCTTCTCTATCTTATCGCCTTCTTGGACACGCACTTCGATGACAGTGCCCGGCATAGGGGCGCCCACCGAACCCTTCACACCCTTCAGCGCTTTCGGGTTTGACTTAATCTCCTGTTAAAAAATGGGTAAATTTATATTTCATCGCAAAACACCTCTTTAGACAATGTCTTACTGTAGCGACGGCTTTGTCTTTGACGAGAAAACTCCTCAATTGGCCGTTGAGTTCAAAAAACACTTCCCGTTCGCCGGTGTCTGTACGGGTCTCAGACACGGCTAGGGTTGTGATGTGCAGTACTTTTCCCTTTTCAAGCGTTACCTTTCATAGGATATCAATAAAATAAAGAGTTAATATCCATTGGAAAACACGCTAATGTCTACAATCATTCAACCAATATTCACCTCAAACTCTTCGCCCACTTTAGGTCCGGTGAGGAATATTCTGGTGTCAAAGAGGCTGACGGGTCCGAACTCGCGTCGGAACTGAATAAAATCATCGCAAACTTTGGGATACATCGCCGAAGACATGACGTCGTGATCGGTAACGGGTTCGCCGTGTTTTTCAATCAACTCGTCCTTCAGTTGAATGAAATTAAGTGGCGGCAAGTGTTGACCCGGAC